CGGTTAGGGGCTTCTCGATTGTTTCATAATGTACTCTATATCAAATCAAGCAGCAGAACTTATTCCTTTCCAGTGATGCTAGTCGTTGCTCTGCCTTTACAGTTTTATTATTCCTGCATCGTCTCCACCATAGGGCTCATGTTAGTTTGGACTTTTTTCTGAAAAATAAACACTAAATATTCAATTAGGTTTTTTTTATTGCCTTGACTCAAAAGTAGTGACCAAAAAACTAGCGTGGGTCACCTGTATGCGAGAACACAGTGGTGGTTGTAGATGTTTAGCACATATTTACCCCGGCATCATGGTTCTGATGTTAGCAGCTTCCAGAGAATCTCCCCTCAACAATTATGGACATATATCTCCACTGACAGCTTTTTATGATGAGATACGTGTTAGAACATCCATTTCTTAGTAACATTATCATATCAAATGATGGCAGATCTGTATAGCGTAGACTGTTCTGGGGAAAAGTGACCAAGATAGAAGTGAAGGCAGTGAAAGTATCCTGAAGATAGCCCAGGGCTCAGAGGGTTAAACTCAGCCTGAGCAGGGTGTACGGTACCTCCAAGTGTAATACTGGATGCTGCACTCATCGTACGTTGCTCTTAGAAGTACTTTAAATCTGCCACATGCAGTAGAGCAGATGTTTTGGCCAGATGTGCTCTAAAGGCAAAACATTTTCCAACTTTGCTTCATTCACACCCAGTCTGATAGTTTTATTTGTATATCATTGTTCAGCTGCTTCGCTCTTGATTCCAGATCTCAGATCACAACACAACCCTTCCAAAAAAATCACATTGCTGACACCAGAAATCCTCCTCCAGACGCCGGCTCCGACCTGGATGCTTCCATTCCCAGGTTCCCTCCTATCTTGTCATTCAGGCATTGTAGTGAGCTTAACCCCCCTCCTTTCTCTCTAACATCCTTTTCCCTTCTTCCATTTTTTTTTCTCTCTCTCTCTCTCTCTCCTTCTTTCTTTGCCCCGTCAGATGTATGTTGTTGACACTGAGGCATCAGGAATAATGGAATCTCTTGTCAGTGGCTTGTATTTTCTGCCCAGGCTGTTATGGCTGCGTATAATAGTAGCAGAGGAGGAGGAAGAGGGGAGGTTATGTGCCACTGATAGTAATGAAGGTTGCCTTTTCATTTTTTAATATGGAATGTTTGTGGGCCGAGGCAATGCTCTCCGCTAATCCTACCCTCGAGCCGAGCTAGCTACATGGCTGTGTCAGTGTTACACACACACACACACACACACCCAGTGACATTCACACAGGCCGATAAAAGACAAACACACACACACGTTACATACACAACCCTCCTCCGGGGCAAGACAGCGAACTGTTTGATAAGTCGGGGTGCATTTCTGCTCCTCATAAAAATTTCACTCCTCCCGTGTTTGTGTCTTAAGGAAATGCAGCCAGGGTCCTGTAAAAGACGATATGGTGTTTGTTCAATATTTGATGGATGCGAAGGCTTGAGTGGCGAGATGCATTTGTAAACCTTTATCGGGACGGGGAGCGTAATGGAAGGGAAATTACATCGGTTCGTGGTGGCGACGAGCGCCAGCCGGTCACGTGAGCGGGTGGCTTCTGGAAACTGGTTTGTCAGGAACGAAGCAAAGAGGTATTTTTGACTGGGTTTAACAGAGAAGTTCTGAAAACTGCCCAAATGTGATTAGTTGAAGTGCTGGAGTTTCCTTTTTGTGAGTGTGTTTCAGTTGGATGCAAAGTGGGCCTTAAAGACAGTTTCCTACTTGCTAATGTATGTTTTTTTTCCCACTGGCTGTGTTACTCAGGTGTGTGTGTGTGTGTGTGTGTGTGTGTGTGTGTTTTCCGCCGGCGAGGGTCTGCGGCACTGGAGTGTGCTGTGTGTCTAATTGCTTTAATAGCACCTGGTCTCTAATCCCAGGTAATTAGAGCGCTCAAATTAGACAACTACTTTCAACCGTCACTTGAAAAAAGCAGGAGGGGAAGGCCTGGAGGAAGACCACTCCACACGGAACCTCTGCACACCAACACACACACACACACACACACCAGAACAGAAGACAACTGGAGAAGCAAGTCGGGTCAGTCGGCCAACAGAGGGACATGTGTAGAAATGCATCTTTGTCGGTGTGATCGAGGCTGTATGTAAAGCGACGTGGAGCCAGCAGCAGCCTTGTTTACAGAAGCCTCTCTCTGCATCCACACTGTAATTGCGTTATAATCGTTATTGACTTTCCTGACTTTTTATCTCCCTCCTCGCGTTTGTTTGAGCGGCACGGAGGCGTCGTCGAGGCCTCCTAAAACGTGTCTGAAGAAGCTGTGGGGAAAGGTTAAGGCCCTCTTTTAAAGATGAGCCGGAAATGTCAAGTGTCTGCCCCTCAGGCTCCCGCTACCGTCTCCCTGTACTCAGACTGCCACCGGGGCCTGCATTGCTCGCACACACACACCGGCACAAAGGTTAGGAATTGCTATTAGAGACGGCCTCCGGTCTCTTTCATCTGTTTTGGCCCTTGTGGCATCTCAGCAGGCTCCAGGCTCGCGGTCATAGGTTAAAATGCAACAATGGGCGAGCAAGAGACATCCAGGTGCTTGTGGAGCGCAGCTAACTGGCTGAAACCAATCATTTATTAGCTCTTAAAATCTGCTAATGGCAAATGTAATGTTTGGCAGGAGCCACGAAGCCGTGTTCAGATCAGAAAATCATAAAATGAGGTTGGAGTGGGAGCTCAGAAGTCTATTCTTGTGCCGTCTCTTCCATTAGTTTTTCATATTTTTTCCTTTCCTACACCAAGACCTTCTACAATTAGTCGTTTCTTCTGCAAAAGGATCAATCACAGTCGGCTATCTTTCAATAATTCTGTTTCCTTGAATCCAAACGAGTCCTCACTCTCGGTTCCCATCGCTTTATTTTCTGCTCTTGCAGTAGCAGAAAGACGCCAACAGAGGGGGTTGGTCGGCCACCGCAAGCTCCGTCAGGCCGCCGAGGCTCAGGCAGGCCAGCTGTAGTGAGCTCCAGGCCTCCTCTGGGTCTGAAAACTGGGTTAACTAGTTCTGGTGGTCAGCGCCTGTGAAATCTTTCATTCACTGTTTTCCCTGCTTATGGTTAAATAAACCTTTTCCATGAGAGTCTAAACGTCTCCCAGCTGTGAGAGAAACACAATCAGCACGTTTAGCATTTTACAACAATCAAAACAGAATTTAAATATAAGTTTATCTTCACATCCTGGTTAATTAAAAACCAGTTCAGAATCTGCCTGTTTTGTGTAATTGTATTAAGAGTCAAGTAAAGCTTGATGAACCTCCTTAAACATATTAGGTCGTCTAATTAACTAAATCTGTCTTCGTTAGCGTCATTGTCTTTCCTACAATAGTAACTTGGATCTGCAGCGCATTTGATCGGCGGCCCTCTAATGAATTTAATCAAATCTCTGTGACATTTTTGCCATTTCTCTCCAAAATGATCTGAGAGAATTAGCCCGTATCAGTCCCCCCATAACCAGATTAGCCAACAGCCAGCTGAATAATCAGAATAGCATTGGTTCTGCTGGCTGTGGCAGGAACACCGGCGCCTCCACACCACCAAGGATTTGTGGGATTTGGAGTCTGGGAGAGGAAACGGCTCCTAATGGCGAAAGCTTTCAACCCAGATAAGACTTCAAAGGCGGAGCTAATTAATAAGATGTTTACATTATTCACGGTCATACGCCGCTTTCTGAATGACCCTCCGCCGCGGCCCGCGCACGTTCACCACGCCGGCTCATTAAACGCTGCCACTGTGGAATGCTAATTGGATGGTTGCTAAGTAAAACATCTGATTGGGAAATAAATAATGAAAGGGGCTCGAGAGTGGAGGGGAGGGTGTGGACGGCCGTAAAAAAACGTAGAAACCTTTTCACATCACGCCACTCAAAGGGGACGGATGAATCGCTAGCAGGATGTAATTTGCCTTTCTTGATGTTTTTAGTCCTGTTTGCTTTAATCGGTTAAACCCCCAAAACCTGCTGCTGAGTTTGAGGCATGCTGGCTTTAAAAAATTGCCCAAATTATACTATTTATAAGAAACTGTAAACGAGAACTGATGTATACCTGTATTGGTTAACTTCAGATTTGTTAGAAAACAGCAAATTCTGAGCTCTTTGGCTCAGCTGAGAGCTTATGAATGAATCGGCTACGACCAACAGTAACGTGACAAATACTCAGCAGCTGTTAGGCTGAACTGCAGGATGTGTAGACAAATGTAGAAGCTAATTAGAGAGACTGAGAGCAAATTAACACAATAAAATAAATGCAGTACGGCTCAAAAACAGTAGAGCAAGTTGTTAATAAACCAAATTCATTCATGCAAATATTCCTAAATGTGTTCTTAGTGTCCTTGTGTTCTTCTGTTTTTCTTATTTATATCGTCTATACAGTGTTTATATTTAAAATAAATTATAGTTGTGTTTTCTTGCTTTTCTTACGTCGCTTTGCTGCTTCGGCGTTGCAAATACTAATCACTGATCGCCCACTAATTAAAGATATTCTAGTCTATTCTAAGATACATACAGCATGGTGAAACATCTGTCTAGAGTTGATGTGTAAAGGAGTTTGTAGTGGCTGTAAAAATGTCAAAAGGAAAACCTTCATACTACCTAGAGTCACCATTTTTCCCCAGTTGCACCTGGAAAATTACGCATGCTGATTCTTTCAATTTTCCACCATTTCTTTTTGTCTTTTTTTATGATTTAAGGTATTTAAACGGTGCCATATTGCACAGACGACTGTTTTCAGTTCTCCTTCCTTCTAGTCATGGTTGTTCTGTTTCCATAGAGGTCCAGGACTTTGTATTGTAATGAAAAATGAGCCCACAGTGAGTAAAAATGTGGGTAAAAAAACACACTTCAGAAGCTACTTGGAGGTCAGATCGTGGCCCAACGTAGCAGCCATTCAACGATATTAAAGTGTTGCATCAGTTTGTCGTATAATATTTCAGAAAGATTAAATTCTCTGTCTTTCCTCGTCTGCCCACAGCCCAGCCCCGTCCCGAGCCCTGTCCTGGGGGGGAAGCCCAACGCCAGCCAGTCCCTGCTGGCCTGGTGCCGCGAGGTCACCAAGAACTACCGCGGGGTGAAGATCACCAACTTCACCACCTCCTGGAGGAACGGGCTGGCCTTCTGCGCCCTGCTGCACCACTTCAGACCCGACATCATGTAGGCACACACTCGCACCACGACACTGTTTAGAGCTAAAATACAAACCATGTGTGTGGAGAACAGACTCATTATTTGCACAGTTAGCGGCTAAGTGTGACCCATGTGTGTGCATTTACACAAGAGTTGCATGTTTGCAGCTGATTCTGTTGTTCATGCGTGTGATTATGGTTCTTTTTTTTAGCATTCTGAGTGTGTGAGGTTCCTTAAACGTTTAGTATTAAATGTGTGTGTAGCGCTGAAAAGAAGAGCATATGGAAAAGCTGCAGCCCATCACCAGGGCAGACATGAAGATCATTTATCAAAGCCGTGCCCTGTGTACAAATGTGTCCGTGTTTATGCTTGTGCGCCTTTGCACTCCGGTGTGTTATTTTTACATATTTTCCACTCTATTAGTTCTGTTGATTGCACTGCTATGAAATTGCATGTTACAGTTCTAATACCATTACATGTGACGCATATTTAAACACACCTCTTCCTCCGCTCCGTCTCCCTCTCTCCCTCTCCCTCTGTGTTTCTCTGCCCGCCTCCTCTGCGACCCTCCCCACTGTTCTTCCAGAGACTACAAGTCGCTCAATCCTCAGGATATTAAAGAAAACAACAAAAAGGTAAGAGGCAGCCACTGCTGGGCCCTTCACACCACTTAGCTCCCTCCCATCCACATCTCCATTTGGCCTTATTTAGAGATCTGCCATTAATCCCTGGATATAGTGTGTTTTGAAGGGGGAAGGTGCAAACACACAGAAAGACAGCAAAATGTGTGTCCTCGCATACACCACAGCCAGAATGTAAAAATGGCAGTTTTCATTCCCCCTGCTGAGATGTGTTTACGTGGATGTCCAAAGCATGACTTGGTGATCTGGCAGAGGTGAGTTAGTATCTCATCTCAGCAGCCTGAAGGAAGCTTATGAACCTAAATAAAAGACTGTGCTGCACATTATTTTGTTTTTATATGTGTTATTCCATCTCAAATCATCAGAGGCCTTCTGCTCGACCAGCTATAGATATTTAAAATGTTATCTGTGGCATTTTAGCTAAATTTATCAAATTCTTTTCGAGACAAATCTATTTCCTGTCAGCAGGTTTTTTCGCATATTGAGATTTGAGGCTATGTTCAAACACCAACATCCCAGGAACTATTTAAGATAAAAGCCTGAATTTTTCACTGTTGTTTCTCATCATGTCACTGAATTGGAATTTGCAAAATCAGACATGTTGATCAAACAGTCTCTGATTAATTGTGAGTTGAAATTTTAAAAAAAAATATCAGTCTGTCATGAAAAATTCCGTCTTTGAGCACACATTACCAAAGCAGTTGATGCAGAAGTCGATTAGTGATATTTTCTGAACCATGTGTGGTTGTTTGTCCCGATAATACCAAAGTAAACGTATGGAGTACCTTTTAATATGAAATACTGGGTCACATAAATGACAAACATGTTACTTCTGTTGAATTTTGCAAAGCGATTGAGCAGGTATGACAAGTTGTACCACGAAAACAAAATAAAAGTATTGCTGGATAGTCTAATCTAAGAGTGCTGGAGTTACAAAATGGTTCTCAAAACATGACTAAGAGAGTAATTTTCTTTAATGTGGGCATATTTTTCATGTTCAGACCCTGCTTTGTAAGAATAAACCTTGATTTGGAGGAGATTTGTCGGAAAGTATTCGATGTATGAAGCTAAACATTTCACAGATATCTTCACCAATATAACAATTCAGGCAAATCAGAGCTGTTTAGCAGGAATCCTTCCAAACAATGTGATGATTTGGGCTGGAATGACCCGTATACAGTGTACAGGAGACAGTTTGTTAGCGTGTACTCCCGTGTTGTCGTATCACAACCTTGCAGCTCACACATATGCTGAGCCGAACAGCTCTTCCTCTACATAAAGCAAACGTACACCTCTTTTCCTCCTTGCCCCGTGTCATCATATCTGCAAATTCACCGTCTAAGGTGTTCGTTCGCACACATCACCATTTTCCCCCGGGCTCTCTGCGCGCACGTCGACTTCTTTGCTTCACACTTGCAAAACACACACTGCTGTTTTTTTTAACTACACACTCTCGCACACCTACGTACACACGGCGTCCCCTCTCTGGCCCCGAGGGCTACACAGAACGATATGCGTCGGGTTCCTGCAGCTTGATTTCCTCTTCTCATACACACTCTGGCTCAGCGATAACCTCTGGTGGCCCTGTTAGGCATGAATGCTACCCTGTTGACAATAACCACAGTGGAGGGAGAGGCAGAGACCCAATCCCATATCTGCTAACTGCCCCTCACCCCCCTCCAGGTGCTCAAGTAGCCCTGAAGAAATTGGTTAGATATAAGTAATATGGGAATATGCCGTAGAAGGTGATAGCTGGTGAATGGCTGCAGCACTGTACCCAGCGTGCAGCGACCAGCTCCCCCGTACAGATCTACACCTGGTGCTCATGTACGTTTGGCCGAACAGGCTGTTTGTGTGGCGTGCATACAGGAGACGCAGGTAGATATCGCCTGACTTCTTCTGCTAGCGCACATACAGCCCTCAAGAGTCGAGTATGTACTGTATATACACACATATGAGCATCTTGGGAGCAGAGTACTAGATACTAAACGTATGTGAATCTGCACAAGCTACATTTTGCAGCACTAGAAGCACCTACAGGCCTCAAACCTGAAGGCACAGAGAGATGGAAGCACTTTTTCTTCTGTAGCAAGCATTTAACTTGCAGGACTGATCAGCTGTTTTCACTTTGTTGTCATGAAACATGGCTGACAGCAGCTCACAGGTTTGTTTCTTCTTCTACTTTAGCTTTTATTACAGTAACGTAGCCTATGCTGCCACCTTCTGATAACTGTAGGCAATCAAGTGTATTTAATAACATTAGCTTAACAAGCTTTATTCACAGTTTATTTATTTTTTAAATTCAAATTCACTTGACAGCTGATACGAGAACGCAGCTATTAGCATTAGCATTAAAACCTGGACAGAATCTAACCTGCATCCTGTGTGAGACTCTGCGTGTTATTTATGTCATAGAAGCTGTTGTTGTGTCTCCAATAGAAACACACAACTGTAAACGAGTTGTGTTGCAAGAGACTGACTGTGAAAGCTAGCTGGTTGAGGAGAGCAGAGAGAGGAATGATGCCCTGTGTGGTGTAGCAGCCTGCAGGTGCTAAACAAGAGTGTCCCTGATATTTCCTGTCAGAAAAAGAGGAAACGCTCACACCAGTTGAGGACAGCGTATTGTGGCATTTTAAGCAAGCGAGAATAAAAAGGACTGAAGATAAAAATATGAGGTGGACGCATAAAAACAGAAATGTTCAAATCAAAACGTGTGAAGCAGTGAATGAAAGAGGACGATGAAAAGAGTCTTGTTTTTCATCCACAGCGTCGTATGGAGCCGCTTCGTGAGCGGTTGTTAGGACGTGTGGAGTTTATTGAATGGACGGCAGAAATGGAAATGTATAGAAACGACAACTATCTCTGCTTTTCATTTGCTAGTTGATAGACAAGCCCCCTCCTCCTCTCACAGTCTATCTGTGAAGAGTGATTGCAATGAGCTCAGACTGTGCTGAATTATGACAGATAAGGACAATCAATATTGGGGGGGGTGGGTTCGGAAAAGAGAGAAAGAGGAGAATTTTTAGAGCGTTCGCCACCTTTGAAATGATGAAAGGGCCCGTATGCTCGCCTATTGATGACTCTGTATGTAACGATGCATGTTGTGTCCGTTTTAGGAGTTGGGAGCTCTGATGTGTTCGCTCGCCTCCCCGTCTTGTCTGTTTTGTCAGTGTGCTGTTATGTGTGTGTGTAATGAGGCCAAGGAGAAGTAATTTGTCATGCCATCTGATAGCGTAGCACCAAGCACCGGGCTAAATCGCCCCGAGCTCCACCGTGAGGGGTTGGGCTGAGGGGAGGAGGTGCTGATGATTGACAACGATAGATAGCTGTCAGTCACTGAGAGGAGGTGGAGGGGAGCAGGGAGCAGCGGCCCGGGGCAGCCGGCGCTGACATTTAGTCCAGACCCAGAGCTTTGTCAGCCGGATGATGGAAAGTGAGAAAACTAGATTTTTTTTTTTTTTTTTAAATACACAATATTCTTATTGGACAAAAATGACACTCATTTGACATTCGTGTTTCTAATGTTGTTCACAAAGCATTAGGGCTGATGTACACAAGTGAATCATTAGCCTTTATAATAATATGTTTGACAAGGATGTACATTATATGCAGCATTTTCACTGGAATATATTGCAGCATACAAAACTACTCACACATACTTGTAAAACTATAAAAAAAACAAAGAATACTTTACGTCCTACCATGTGTGCTCTTCTCTTTTCAGGGTCGTTGTTGTCCATAAAGTATAAAAAACAGAGATCTGATCCTTAGACTGAGATTTGGGCATCTCTGGTTTGGACATTGCAACTTAACCCAAACTTTAGTTGATGCTCATTGACATAAACATTTTTTGAGATTTGAATAATCTCACTGGACTCATTGAGAAAGTTACAGACGCATGATTTGGACCAAGAAATGGGCTGTTAAGTTAACAAAAGAAAGATGCTCTAATTGATCCCTACATGTGTGCTGGCCGGATGTCATTAAGCCTCACTGGAGACTTGATCGTGGTGCCCAATAACTAGCTAAACCCTCACAGTGCTCTCTGCTTTCCAAATGGAAACTACCTGCCTAAACAGGTGTAGCTTCTACCTGATGGCACAAGGAAATGCTGCAGTTAATCTACAATTTAAAAAGAACTTGATCAGAACATTTCTATTTAAAACACCATAATGAGCTACTAGATGGATATGGGCTCTAGGGTTGGTCATTTAAAACTGATTTCAGCCTAGAACTGGTTCCAATGGTCCCAAGTTTAGCTTGCAGTAGTTCATAAACATTGTCCAGCAGACAATCTACGGCTGTCCATCTCCGTTCATGTGTCTTCCTGTCTCCTTATTCATTTGTGTTAATAAACCACAAGTCTAGCTTTATAGTATATGCTGTACTGTGTTTTAAAGGTACAAAAATACACGTCTCCTATGTCACTATAATATATTACATCATGAGGTTATTAGAACTCATGCATTAAACCAGCTGCCCCTCAAAGAATCAAAATCGAGAATGATTAGGATCCTTTACCGTAAAGGAAACTCGTATCAGGTTTGTTAAAATACACATGACACTGATGTAAATATTCACCATATCTGCAGCTGAGCATCCTCTCCTACAGATACACCGTTCCTGTCTGGGTTATGTTTGCTAAAAACTGCAGTGCCAAACTGTTTAAAGGAACTTATTATTACTTTTTTGAAAATAAGTTTTTGTGGTTTCATTTTTGGGACGAATCAATGAGCGCTGAGCTGAGTCACAACAATCAGGACGTGAACGTATGAGGAGACGGAGACGCCTTCTTCTGCCTTATTAGTCTATTAGTGATCAGTTACATACATGTTTATTTACTTTAATAGCACTAAAATTTGAATATGTTCAAATTTAGAGGTTGACTGCTGCTCATAGAAACTTGAGAGGTTACTAAAATAGAGATCGTAAGGTGGAGTTTTAGGTTGACTTGTGTGATGTAACCGAGGCTACAGGTCCTTCTAAGGAGATGCCTCATCTGTGGGAAGCAGTTCTGTCTGAGGAATGCAGGAATTAGCGTTGGATTCAATAAGAAAACGGTTTCTATTCACTATCATTTTAATGTCCCGGCAGTGTGTTTGTTTCTTGTTAATGTAGTATAAGTCGTGGCAGTGTGTCCTCCACGCTACAACCAGTCTCATCTTTTCACTGCAGCGGACTTTCTGTACTTGAGCTGCACTAACTTTCCAAAGAAAACATGGGCTCAGAAGTCTTCATTGTCTCAGCCGTGTGGAATGATCAGGGCTCGTCAGGCTGCGAGAGAAGATATAAGAAGAGTAAATCCTGACACCGAGGTCAAAAAGACTGTAGCACATGTCAAGACTAACATCGACCCTGAAACAAAACCCAGCTCGAGAGCCTCCCTCCTCATGCGCCTCTCACTTTCTCCCACTCTCGCTCTTTTCTCCCTCTCATTCTTTCATTCCGTCCCCATTGAGCAGCAAAGTTGTCGCTCTCTTTCACAGCCTACCCTGGGCGAGAGTTGAACAATGCAAGCACACTTTGCTCCCCTGAATACGTGTTAGAAACCCAATCAGGCCCTCTTATTCGTCATATTCTTTCCTTTCTCTTTATCTTTTTTTTTCTTTCTTTCACACTCCCGTTCTGTCAGGAGGAGGAGGAGGAGGAGGAGGAGGAGGAAGGTGGTGGGGACTTAAACAGGCTCTCTGTAAAGGCAAACTCCTCTCTGTTCTGCCTTTTTTCTTTTTTCCCGCCATCAGTTCTTTCTTCCTGCTTTGTCTCGGCGAGCACAAGCAGAAACACACAGACCTCATTTCCCTGTGTGAGTATAGATGTTCAGCCATTGTTAGCGTCTCCGTCAATGCGAAGGGACACAACAGGTGAGAGCGAAGAAAGACTCGTCCCGACAAAAGACGTAATAATTGATTGTAAATTGAGAAACATCTCTTCAGCCAAAAGCACCTATTCACCGTTCCTCTCGTTTTCTTTGGGGGTTATAGAAACCAAAACAGTTGGAGAAATGAGATTAACTACGCCGAATGGGATTTATTTTCTCTTACAGTTTGGATGGAGCGTAGGTGCCATAGCTGCACATCAAACCCTTACACTTTTAACATCTTTCAGAGGAAACAACAGTAGTCTGCGTGTGATAAGCGCTGCTGGTTTTCATCTTTTGTGGGATTTTTTGCTTCAGAGTGCATAAATAAACGTGTAAAAATAGAAAAATTATATTCACAGACACGTTGTAGGTGATCTACGGGAACAATTTATCATGATAAAATGTTTAATTTCAATTAATATTGATAAATATGGGTAATTTTTAATTAACGCCAGCGGAAATAAAACATTTGAATCACTTTAACTACAGACTATAATGTTGTCACAACAATAAAACACACAAATATTTAAATTTACCCACATAAGTACAAGTAAATGAGGATAAAATATAATCTTTTACATTAAATAAAGAAAACAAGTAAAACCCAAAGACGTAGAAGTGACCAAGCCTGTTAATGATCTATTTAGGAAGCATGTTTGAGGTTTGTTCATGCAACCAAACTTTGTGTTTTCATTGTGTGCTTTCATAGTGGTTTATATTTAATGCATTAAAGTGAAACTATCTAAAATTCAAACCATTTTCTTGTTGGTTTTGACGAAAAGCCTGCATTTATATCCTTTTATCTGCCAGAATTAGCGCAAACTGGAGACCTGGTGAGAGGTTGATGTTGTTAAACCACCACTTGGAGTTTGTAGTTTGACTCCAGAGATCCCATAAACAACCCTCAGCAGCCTTCAACACTTAATTCCCCAAAACTGCAGTTCCTCCAATGGCCACTTGAGGCTGACTCCACAGTGAGTTCATTCCCATAGACCCCCATGTTAAAACGCTCAACTTTGAAGGAGAAATAAACATGTTTACAGCCAGGTACAAAGTCGGGTTTTGGTCTCTGTAGCTAGTTTACCATTTCATGACAACTGTACAGCAGATTAATTTATATATAACTCACATGTATAAATTGTATTAAGGCTTAAAGTTATGCACGCTTCCGCCTCTTTGCCTATTTTTGGACTAGCTGGGAGTTAGGTGGAGTCATGTACGGCTAGGTCCACTGAGGGTTCGTCCATCTTTATATCCAGTCTATGTGACGAATGCAAACCAAGAGCTTAATGCCAAATCATACATGCTGAATAGAGCCCTTCTGTGGATAAAGACAGGTACGAAAAAGATGTGGATGGGAAGGAAGGACTGAAAAACAAAAAAAGAAGCCCACGGAGGAGGGTCTGTGAGTCAGAGAGAGAGATTGATAGACTGGGGAGATGTACGGAGGCAGTGAAACAAACGGCTGCTGCAACAGGTTGGAATTAGATCAACACTATCAAGCAGGCCAGATACAAGCTGTGATACCTGCAAGAGATGGATGAGGAGGTTGTGTGTGCGCAGCAACGGAGGCAGAGCGAGCGCGTGGGCGTGTGTGTGTGTGTGTGTGTGTGTAGGTGTAGGTGTGTGTGTGTGTGCTGTTAATCTATTTATTTACCTGTCATTGGCTGCGATAATGGTTTTCATCCCTTCTCTCTCTGTCTCTCTGTCTCAGTCTATCTTGTGATGGGGGATTGGTTTTCGTGTGTCGCTTGATAATCACACCTGTATTTTCTCATCAGACTCTAATCAGACCAATTACACGCGTGACGGAGAGCGTGGGCATGTTGATGTAGGCGAGCGATAAGGACACACTCACACACACTTTGGGATTAAGCGCTCTGTCTTGAGGTATCTGCGTCTCTTATCGGGGACAACCATCCCTGACATGACCTGTCAGCAGTCGTAGCAAAGGTGTCTCTGCCGCGCAAACACACATGAACACGTACACGCTTAGATCATGCAAGCAATGCACCAAACCACAACCCGCGACTAAAAAAGAAAAAGTCAGGCTTCTCCTGTCTCCTCAGTGATCGTCACCCTTCCATCCCTCTCATGTGGGATACTCACTGGAGTCTTTGTTTTTTCTGGATAGGTGCTGCCTCTGTGGTGTATAAACCTGTTGTCGTGTCCTTGTTTTGACAGGCCTACGACGGTTTTGCGAGCCTGGGCATCTCTCGTCTCCTGGAGCCCTCCGACATGGTGCTGCTGGCCATCCCCGACAAGCTGACCGTCATGACCTACCTGTACCAGATCCGGGCGCACTTCTCCGGCGAGGAGCTCAACGTGGTGCAGATCGAGGCCAACAGCAGCCGCAGCACCTACAAAGTGGGCGACTTTGAAACAGACACCAACGCCTCCATCGGCCAGGACAAGTTCTACGCCGAGCTGAACGACGTGCAGCACCGCCAGGCGAACTCTCAGCCCACTGCGTCCGAAGGTGGCGTCGAGTCTAACGGCGCCGAAGCTGCCGAAGGGGAGGCGACGGAGCCGAGCTGGAAGGCCGAGGTAGGAGCGGTTTCGACCAGTTTGCCGGCGCCGGGGCCTTCGCAGTCCTCGCCTCCTGTCCCGTCGCCACGCACAGTATTAGCCGCCACAGCAACAAACTCGACCCACGCGGCGGCGCCGGGCTCTGAGGACCGGGGGACTCTACTCAAAGCCAACACTTTGGACCTCAGCGAGTTACCGCAGAGAGCCGAGAGGGACGCAGAGAAGGAGAGGCAGCACAAGGACGAGGCGAGAGAGGACAGAGTGGACGGAGGAACCGAACCAGCGTCCCCCACCAGGAGAGGAGCCTCGTCACCTCCGCACCAGAAACTGGGCTTCTCCTACAACAGGGACGCTGATCTCATCAAGAAGAAGAGGGCCAGCCTACGTCACTCCGAGTCTGAGCCCTCCACAGACACCAGCTCCCCTCCAGTCAACCACACAGAGATCCCCATCAAACAGGTAAACACACACATAGACATGTGTTTACTGTTCTCATCATGAAGCAGCTCCTCAGATCCAGAATGCACATGCAGGCCCACTGTTAGCACAGTAGAGCTGCAGCAATTAATCACCAGCTGTTTGGAGTAATTTTTAAAGGAGAGACGTCAACATTTTCAGCTTTCTATGACAACAAACTGAATATTTTTTGGTTGTGGACAAAATAAGGCGTTTAAGGATGTTGCTCTTTGTGTCTATAAAACCCTAGTTGATATTTTTCACCATTTTATACACCAAACAACTAATAAAAATAATTGAGGATGAATACAATCTTTGTTTTAGTAATATTTAAAGGAAAAACGTTGGGTTTCTTTCCTCCTCTATGACAGTAAGCTGGACATCTTTGGGTTGTGGCCACAGCAAAACATTTAAGGGCGTTTCTGTTTGTTTTGTTGATATTTTTCACCATTTTCTGACATTTATATACAGCAAACAACAAGTATGAAAGTAACTGACAATGACAACAATGCTCAGTTGCAGCACAATTGCTCAGGTGTGGAACCAGAACGGTGTTAAGTGTCCGTTCAGTGTTTTGAATAATGTAAAGGTTCAAATCGAGTCATTAAACTATCACACAATTATAAATCCTGCACCTCAGACAACCTCTGGATCCGTCTGCCTGATGTTGACTAATTCTCGCCGCTCAAGTCGGGTATTAAGATTCTGACAGCGTTCACCTGCAGGTACCAGCCTGGCCGCTAAATGGATTGTTGGGGTTTTTATCCTCGCACCCAGGCTTTGATTGAAACTTTCACAGCTACGTCAGTCATAAGACAGAGGACGTGGTGAACATTCATTCCCTCCTGGCGCTCGCTAAGCTTCAAATCCCGACCTCGTTGATGCCGCTGCGGAGATGACCGTACCGAATTTCCCCCCGTTTCTGCATTAGATGTTGTCGTCAGCTGTCTCGTCGCCGCCGCCGAGCACCAGACACATCCGGGCCGGGGCCCTTAACATGTGGCGACTGTGGAAGGCACCCAGGAGAACCCCCTGCTTTGACGTTTCATTATATTTTTCATTATATTTCTCATCCCTGCAGTTGATGGCAGTTGCGCCGTGACTGCTCAGGCGTGGCGATGCTTTGCACAGAGCACACATCATCTCGTCACACACACACACACACACACCTGTATGCGTGTGCACACTCGCTCTCTCACACACTCGCTCACACACACACACACAGCCAACGAGTTGCCGGCTGCGTCGGTTAACCCCAGATTACCGCTTCTTGTTTACAAGTCGAAAGGTCACAGGGCAGGCGGGGGGCGGCGGGGGGGTTATGACAGCCATGATACCCCAGTTTTGATCTGCTGTTATCTAGTTAGCGGGACGCATCCTCGCGTGCATCCCGGCCACGTTTAACTTGTTGGGAGGATAAACATGTTTCAGCGTTATGAGCAGATTCTTCTGTCTAAGCCGAATGTGAAAGCTGGGTTTGCCCTGTTTACACCTGCTTACAACACATTCAGGATTACCGAGCAGATAAAAGTCTAAGCAAAGTGTGTGTTTTGCTTTCTTGTCAAAGCCGTCATGCTCTCCACACCACTGGACCCGGTCCGGGCTGTGAGTCCAGCACGTAGACTGCCCCCTGTAATGCCAACATATAGGTGCTGTATATTATAGGGAACACATCCTGATGCTACATTACGGACGGCGTGTTTGGATCCTCTTCCATTCGCTGACTGTCCAAGTGAAGGTAGTGAAAGTTTGCCACTGTACGGAAAGACATCAGACACTTTGTCAGGCCTCGTATTTGTTGGAATAAATCACAGTTTTTAAAAAAAAAGTAGTTGTTCCATGAACCCAAGCAGTTTCTGGGCATTTATTACTCCAACGTTAAGTCCTGCATCTCTATAGAAACAGCACAACCATGACTAGAAGCATAAAAAAAATCTGAAATGTCTTCTGTGCATGTCGTGTTAGAATGCCATACATCATAATAAAAGAAAAGCTAAAGTTCTGATAATTTATGTTGCAATATTTGATAAAATCTGTCATCAACTTGTTGAACATTTCCCAATACTGGAAACAAAACCATCATGGCCCTACATACTACACATATTTTACTGCTTAAATTTGAAATCCTCGACGCTACAACTCACCATCCTGGATGTAACTTCCAACAACTTGCTCCTTTGTACACTGATTTTGAGCCAAGCTGCATTTATTTTACAGCTCAAACATGTTGTATTTCGCTCATATTTGTTTCCCTACTCGTCTCCTCTCTGCTCTGTGTAAACACAGCCTGCAGTTCATCCGAATGGTCTTGGTTTTTTGATTGGTTGCAGCCAACACGTTGCTTTCGTGGAATAACGCGTCATTATTTTTTTTGCACAGCATCTGGTGCAAACTGTACATTTTAGGCACATTTTTATACGTTTAATAAAGTGCATCTGATGAAGTATGACAGTTGTGAGCTTAGGTTTGGTTAATTGTCCCGACTAACATCAGGAAGTTAAAAATCCAACATTTCTCAACACAATTTCTCATTACTGGCTCTGATGAATTGTATAATTTTGGTTATCATTTAAAATCTATGTTTTAGATTTCAGAGAGTTAAATCAGAACCTGTTGCTCTTTAACTAGTTTTTAAACATGCATGTGTAGTTATGTTGCATATTTTTCTCTTTTAAAGGAACCCACACCTGCTCCTGTGTCAAGTCCTCCTGCTGAGAAGGTGAGTACAATACTATACTGTGCATCTGATCAATCTATGTAAGTATTTTCATCTTTCTGGACTCCAAATAGCTTTCTCCCTTTTATTCTTACATCCAGAACAAAGCACACCTTATTTATGACAGAGTTCTAGTACATGCAACCCCAATGCGATCTTGGTTATTATCATCAGTGCTGTTATTTTAGTTTGTGATCTCATTCTCTCCCTTCCTTTGCCCACAGAAGGTGCTCTCTCGTCAGGAGGAGCTGAAGGAGAGAGCCAGACTCCTCCTGGAACAGGCCCGCAGAGACGCCGCCATGAAAGCCGGAAACAAGAACGTCCCCAACTCGGCCGTGGCCGCGCCGAACAGGGCTGCAGGTGTCTGTGATGTAAGTCAGAGCGCTGCGAGTGTGTCCGTCTGGGACCGACCCGGTTCAGTTTACTCGAAAGAATGCGACTCGTGGTCATTTTAATGTGTAGAGCAGAAGCTGTGCGTCGTCCTCCTCTCTTTGCTCCGTACACCAGAGACCTCAGTGTGCAGAAACAGCTAATAGAGTGACCAGCAGCCTCTCCAGCACCCTCATGTCACTTCCACACTTCTCTATTTGCTGCTCACTACACTTCCAACATGCTGGAAAAGCCTGTCCAAACTGTCTCATCCTCCGGCAGCAGCCCACTTTGGTGAGCACGTTATGAAAAAAGCTTTGAGAAGCAGAGAAGACTTCCCTTTATTAACTTCTGCCGAGACTCTCTTATGCACTGCTGAACGTCGCAACCTGAACGTGTCGGGGGAGAAAAACTCCAGTGTGGATGGACTGCCTCCCCGCTCTAAACATTTCTCTCTCTCGCTCTTCAGACTCCCTCTTTGGTCATCTTGACTCTGCACAATTTTTATGACATCCCCCGACCAAATTTGCTGCCCCCTCACTTTCCCCCGAACACTGAGTAAATGTTGTACACAAACACCTGTCAGCAAAAGTACATTCATGGTAAAAGGGGGGTAAGAATCGCTGTACCGGAGCAAACTAGACTAGAGAAGACGCGAGTGAAATTGCCAGCTCTGAACTGAGCACGCTCCACTGAACATAATATACTGGGAGGAGGGGGCACGCTGATGAACCAGGACTTACCCTGGGAAAGCACTGTGGTCAAATCCTCAGTCACGTTCCCAAATATTTCAGAGAAAGGAAAAGGGGGGCGTTAGAAAAAAAAAATGGTCTTGTGAGAATTGTGACGACAAGGGATTTGAGGGTAAAATGAAATAAATACCTTTTGGTAATGAAATATCTAAAAGGCAGCAGCCGCATGCCCCTGCATTTGCTGCCGGAATCCTTAAAGAGAAATATGCCCTTGAATTAGATGTTTTTTAAAGTGTGTGTATGTTTGTGTGTGTGTGCGTGAAGGCATGCAAATCTGTGTGTTTGCGCGGCAGCAGCCACAGGAATAACCATTTCAGCATAATCTGAGGAAATAAATGAGGACCTTCCAAGGACTGGTGGCGTTAAAAGTCTTCAGAGGGAGAAAAGCAAATTAAAAGAGTTTTTCAAAGCTGTCGCGGCGCCGATATATTTCCTCAGCGACAAAAAAAAAAAAAAAAAAAAAAGGTCCTCTTCTGTCCCTTGTTGTCCGGCAAGATGGCTGACTTAACTTAGATTAGCTCCTTAAAGTAGCCAGACCCTCCCCGCCACTCGTTCCCGCTCCCTCTCCTCCTGATTTCCTTACTCATTTCCAAGGACAATTGGTTAATAACCCCCTCACACACACACACACACACACACACTGCTGCTATGCATGAGGGAAGGAGGCGGGGTGTCAGGGAGATATTGAATTGTTTACACTTTTTTTAATAGAAAACATTGATCAAAGGAATACGACTGGCCTCGAGGCCAACGTGCTGATAATTGTTAGTGATTCAGATTAGATTACTTGATGTCTTGTTTTGATTAGCATGAGTGTGTGTGTGTCCATGTTATCAGCTGGAGAGGCCCGAGCCTTTCCCATTTAACTCTCCATCTGTCTAAGTAGGTGCTTTGCGGTTTAGCATGCATAAGGTATAATTTAATTCAATTAAAGCGGCCTTCGTTCTTCCAGGGAAGTGGCTAATGTGGGGCAGAGGAGGGGAGTGCATGAGCTGTTTTTAGGGGTGCAGCTTTCAAAGCCACAAATCCGTCAGATATCTAAAATCACGTCTCACTCAAAGCTGCACAACTTAGGGTTTTAATGCAGACGTGCAATTTGAGATGATTAATCGATTTGTCCAAAAAAAAGACAGAAATAACCATTTTCTGTAGCACTAGTCATCAGATTAGCTCCACCTTTCCTGTCATTAGTGGTAGAAGAAGGTAAATAATTCACATAAAATATCAAACTCTTCATCCAAAGCTGCCCTAATATGCCTCTGAGTGAACCACCAGTCCACAGATGGATGGACGTTCCAACAAAGTCCGGTTTGTCCTTCTCAGTCACTAAAACTACACTGTAAAACAATTAAAATATTCAAATGAACACAGTGAAAATCAAGGGTGAAATATACATTAAAGAATTAAGGGAATACTGTAACATTCAAAAACAGCAAATATCTTTAAAATAATTTGATCTTTAGCTGATTTAAATACAGCAAACTAGTTTAAATTTACAGTCACACATTATAAAAGAAGGAATTACTGTTTGTTTAATGTGTTATTTACAATTTCAGCCTGTTTTTTCATAGTTAACATTTAAAAATCGATTTTTTGTCAATTTTTGCCATCCAGTTTTCTAGAATATGTGCATAAAGGACGAGGTTTTCCAGCCTCGTGTGGTGCCATGTCTGTAAATATCTTATTACAGAACATAGGAACCAACACAGAATGCGTCTCTGTATGTTACACAGCTAGCATGTGCTAAACTAGCTAAACAGGTTATTACACATTTACAAGATTTGATGTTCAACATCGTCAAACAAAAACAACAGAATGAGGAGTTTTGCAACACATCTGAGAGGTTCTCATAGGAATGAATGGAGCTGTGGTTGATGGTAAACAAACACAGAGCTGTTTTTATCTCCTGATACGAAGCGTCTGTTGATTCGTCCGTCGTATGTCGTACCGCTGATTTGTGCATTTTGCTGTTAGTGCTTCAACTTTTTAAAAAAATGTGCAGCAGGTACCGATAACAGGAGCCAAATATTAACATATAATAATACCATTTTTCTTCTGTTGTCTTGAAATGTAAACAAACAAAATCCAGCTGTAGTTTTGGAAGCTTTATTATTTCTCACAGCTCCCTGTGAACAGACAACATGATGCACGTATTTAAATCAGTTCTGAGTAAACGTGTTGAGCCTAAATGCTCCCACGTCGACTCCAGCGCGGTTTGCTGCTGAACGCCGTGTCGGTCGGTGGTTTGGACGCTGAGCGTTTGTAGTCCTGCTCTCCTGACCTATGCTCTCCCTCCTGCCTTCCCTAATTGTAGCCCACAGTGACTCGTTCTTTCATCTAAGGTCACAGGTTCAGTTTCCTCCCTTTCTCTTTCTCCGTCACTTTCTCTCATTGTGTCCGTCTTTCATGTCAGGTTGTTCAGATTTCTAACCCCGTTTCTGTCCGTTACCATCACGTTATTCCACCTGGTCCTGCTCCCTTCGTGTTGTCTTTGATAGATGAGCGGTGCTGCTAATTGTTTGTACCCACCGCCGCCCTCTTCTTCCTCCTCCTCCTCCTCCTCCTTATAGGTGGCCTTCACAACATATCAGTAGTCGGTAGTGCAGATGTCTTGCAATGTTGGAATGTCACGACCCCCTGCCCACACAGCAGCCAGATGGGTAATTAATGAGCTTCCCCTAAAAATATCTAGGGCAAGGACTTTATTCTCCTGTTTTATCCTCGGCGCAGACGTCCCGGCTTTTTATTTTTTTTTGTTTTAGCCGTTCCTCCGCTGTCATTATTTTAATAGAGAAGTGGGTGTGTGTCTCTGTGTGTCTGTTCGCTTCAGGTCTTCTCATCCATTAGCAGATGAGAACAGTAATTTCACACCGGCCTGGCCAGGCTAATTATCAGCATCCACACTAGGTTTGGGGAGAAGTGTGCGCACGTGGACACGCGTGCACGTGCAGCTCCGTGTGTGTGTGTGTGTGTGTGT